AAGCAAATAAATAATTGCATTTCCACAGCATCTCTGGGACTCAAAGCCCTGTGCAAACATAGATGAGTTAAGACACCTTTGAGAAGAACCTCGTTTATGTGGAGGAGGGGAGAGAAGCAGCAGCATCCAGTGGTTAGAACAATGGACTAAAAATTAGGAGGGCAGGGTTTTGTCCTTAGCTGCCATTGATTCGCTGCTTGGCTCCGAGCAAGTCACGGACCATTTCTGTGCCTCAATTTCCCCACTGGACAGTGGAGGTAATATTTAGTAAAACGCTTGAGAACCTTAGATTAAAGGGCCTCTAAAAGTTATTACTGTATATTATTGTTGTTGTGTTCCTTTTAACCCTCCTTCACCCCTACAGATCTTGGGACCCAGTCCTGTACTTGCAAAAAAAATCCACATTTACCATTGTGCTTGGGAGAAACCCTGTTCGTCCATCAGTCCAGGGTTTTATATCACTCTCTGCCCTGATCCCATCCTACCGGCTGGACCTTCACACGCGCAAATAACCATCTGTTCAGCTGGAGGCAGGAGGGCGAGAAACAGCTCCGTGTCCTTTGCGGCTGCTTTATTCTGCTTTTAAACAGGCTCAGCAGGGTTTGATTTCTATTTTCCACTTTTGGGGGGGGTCTTGTTTATTTTTTAGAGTCAAATGTCAGGCCTGGTCCATTTGGCAGGATGCTCTGGGCCATGGGAGAACTGGGAGGGTTATAACATCACAGACAACAAGAGATCATGTGGGAGGAGCGGGGCGGGAGGGAAGGGGAACAGTCTTTGCACATTACACTACAGCAGACAGAGGAGTGGCTGCTACAGAGCCTGCTCCCACGCTTGAAGTGGTCACTGCACACACCAGCCCCTGAAGGGCAAATGGGAGTGTCCGTCCCATGTAACCTCAGATGGGATCGGAACCATCATGGTTTTTAATATTCCACTGAGGATCTAAATTTCCATTCCTAGATTACAATCTCCAGCCTATTACATGTTCATCTTACCTACACTGCCCCTATATCCATATCAATGGCACTGCTTTTCCATTCTGGGCCCAAGAATGAGGTACACCTCTACCCCTATATAACGCTGTCCTCGGGAGCCAAAAAATCTTACCGCATTATAGGTGAAACCGCGTTAGATCGAACTTGCTTTGATCCGCCGGAGTGTGCAGCCCCGCCCCCTGGAGTGCTGCTTTATGGCGTTATATCTGAATTCATGTTATACTGGGTCACATTATATCGGGATAGAGGTGTATTAGTATTTAGTATTATGGTAGCACTTAGGACCCCCATCATGGGCCAGGACCAGAGGTGAAAGTAAGATGGTCCGGTGTACTGGCAAGAGCCGGTACACAGCCGACCATACCGGCAGCGGGCAGCTTCCCCAGGCCGGTGATTTAAAGAGCCCAGGACCCCCGGCAGCGGCTGGAGCCCCGGGCCCTTTAAATCACTGTCAGAACCCTGCTGCCAGAGCCCCGGGACGCCGGTGGCAATTTAAAGGGCCCACGGATTTAAAGGCCCCACCCCTACCAGTTGAGGCCCCGCCTCCCCTGCTCAGGACTCTGGCGTGCTGGTAAGTCCTTTAAGTTACTTTCACCTCTGGCCAGGACCCCACAGTGCTAGGTGTTGTACAAAGACAGACCAAAATGTCAGTCTCTGCCCCAAGAAGCTTCCAATCAAAGCCCACTTCTGTTCCAGCTGAAGTAAATAGGTGTTTTGCCCCTGCGTTTGCTAAGAGCAGATGCAGGCTCAGTGTAGGAGATGGGAATCTCCTTGCTTCTCTCATTTGAATAATTGCAATGGATTTTGAAAAAAATTGCCAGGACTTGATGAAAAGAATAATTGACTTTCTGTGATGGCAATGATGTGATCCAATGGTTGGAAACCAACGCTGGACAAAATCAGACTAGAAATAAGGTGCAGGTTTTTAACAAGAAGAGTAAAATTAACCATTGACCAATTTACCTAAGGATGTGGGGGATCAGCCTCCACTCGCAGTCTTACATCAAGACTGGCTGTCTTTCTAAAAGGTCTGCTCTAGCTCAACCACAAGCTATGGGCCTGATGCCGAAATTACTGGGTGAGGAGCTTTGACCTGTGTCACGCTGGAGACAGATCAGATGATCATAATTGTCCCTCCTGGCCTTCCAATCTTAGACACTAAAAAAAGGGAGGAAATGCCAGTGTTCTGCACTGTCTGCGCCAAAATGACAAAGGTCTCCAGTGTGGTTTTGTCTTTCAAATGTGGGTAAGGTATCAACAGCATGGCTGTGCTGTGCTGGGAACAAGCTGTCCCCCAAATCAGCATTCTGGGGCGAAACCATTTTGTAGATGGTGGAGTGCTACAAGAGAGAGAGAGAAATCCACACCGATTTAGTGCTCATATAATACAAATGTATGGATGGTTTATAATATAATATAATATAATATAATATAATATAATATAATATAATATAATATAATATAATATAATAGTTCCTATTTTCTTTTTTTATTTCTGTTTTACAAAGCAACACAAACTTTTTAAACTAAAAAAAAAAAGGCTGAGAAAACATTTCTTT